GAGAGGATGAGAGAGTCGCCTTGGCCGCACCAGGAGCCGAACAGTTCTTGTTTGCGTCAGTAGAGATCGCCAGAGGATCAGAAATGAGACTTAGTGGGGTCTGTTGAGGTCCTGGTCTCCGAGCAGCTCCCCCCTCTTCTACACACACACACACACACACACACACACACACACACACACACACACACACACACACACACCTGGTCACACACACACCTGGTCACACACACATGTGTCTCTTGGGAAAAATCTGTTCTGAAGAGACTGGGTTGAGCTCTTCTATTCATGCAGACTTGGCTTCCTGAGAGCCAAGGACTTTACATTCTGGCCTGAAGATTGATGGGTGGGCAGCTGGAATGTCTTGTGGCAAAAATGGAGCTCAGAAGTGGCTCATGATAGTTTGTTTTTTTCCCAAAGATCTTTTGCTTTTTTCTCCTTAGGTCTGGATCACCAATGGAGGCCTGGCCAATATTTTTACCGTGTTTGCTAAGACCAAGGTTGTTGATTCTGACAGCTCAGTAAAGGACAAAATCACAGCATTCATAGTAGAGAGAAACTTTGGTGGAGTCACTAATGGGAAGCCTGAGGATAAGTTAGGCATCCGTGGCTCCAACAGTAAGTTGTGTGTGTGTGTGTGGGTGTGGGTGTGGGTGTGGGTGTGAGAGAGAGAGAGAGAGAGAGAGAGAGATACAGTGAGATACAGTGAGATACAGTGAGAGAGAGAAAGAGAGATACCCTTTGGCCCCATTGTAATATCAAGATAAAATAGCTACTTGTAAATAATGCTACTGTGAACATAGGTTGCATGTATCTTTTCGAATTAGTGTTTTCATTTTCTTTGGATAAATACCCAGAAGTAGAATTGCTGAGTCATTTGGTTTATCTATTTTCAGTTTTTTGAGGAATCTCCATACTGTTTTCCATATGGGCTGCACCATTTTGCAGGCCCATCAACAGTGCACAAGGATTCCCTTTTCTCTACATCCTTGCCATCACTTGTTACTTTACTTTTTGATAATAGTCATTTTGACTGATGTGAGGTAGTATCTCATTGTGGCTTTGATTTGCATTTCCTTGATGATTAGTGCTGTTCACCATCTTTTCATATATCTGTTGGCCATCTGTATATCTTCTTTGGAGAAATATCTTTTCATGTCTGCTGTCCATTTTTCAATCATATTGTTTATTATTTTTTTGTTACTGAGTTGTATGAGTTTCTTATATATTTTGGATATCAACCCCTTATCAGATATATCATTTTGAATATATTTTCCCATTCAGTGGGTTGTCTTTTTGTTTTATTGAAGGTTTCCTTCACCATGCAGATTTTTAGTTTAACGAAGTCCCATTCATTTATTTTTGCTTTTGTTTCCCTTACTTGAGGAGACGGATCTAAAAATATATTATTCAGACTGAGGTCAGATAGTTTACTTCCTATGTTTTCTTCTTGGAGTTTTATGGTTTTAGGCCTTACATTTAAATTTTTAATCTATTTTTGAGTTTATTTTTGTATGGTATGAGAAGGTGGTCCAGTTTCATTTTTTCACATGTATCTCTCTAGTGTTCCCAACACCACTTGTTGAAGAGACTGTCATTACTCCGGTATATGTTTTTACCTCCTTGGTCATAGATTAATTGACCATATAAGTGAGGGTTTATTTCGAGGCTCTCTATTCTGTTCCATTGACTATGTGTCTGTTTTTGTGCCAGTACTATACTTTTTTGATTATTATAGCTTTGCAGTATAGTTTGAGATCAGGGAGCGTGCCTTCAACTTTGTTCTTTTTCAAGATTGCTTTGACTATTCAGGGTCTTTTGTTATTCAAGATGTCCATCATGAGATGAATGGATAAAGAAGATGTGTGTGTGTGTGGGCACATGTGCCCGCCCCCCACACACACTGAGGACTATTACACAGCAGTGAAAAAGAATGAAATCTCCAATTATGACAACACAGATGGTTTGAGAGAGTATTATGCTGTCAGTCAGGCAGAGAAAGACAAAACAAAACAAATGAACAAATAAACCAAAACAAATTTGTAGAAACAGAGCTAAAGGGATGGTTACCAGAAGGGAGGGGTAGGAGGTGAGTGAAAAGGGGAAGGGGACTATAGTCAACAGTATTGCAATAAGTTTACACAGTGACAGATGGTTACTAGAATTAGTGTAGTGATCACATTGTAAGGTATAAAATTGTTGAATCATTGCATTGTACACCTGAAACTAATATAAGTAGTATAATATTGTATACCAACTATACTTAAATTTTAAAATTCAAAAAAAAAAAAATGCCACAATGACTCTTCATAGCATTGCAGAGGAGGTCCTTGAAATTAACTCATTAATTCAACAAACACTGACTGTGCACCTCTCCATGCATCAAGCAATGGTGATTTCAAGGTGAATGAGATAGTCACAGTCTTATGGAGCTTTCAGCCTTATGAGGGAGGTGATAGTGAACACTAAGAAGGATAGTGGGGTGTCCTAGGTAAACATTTCATTACAGAAAACCCCATTATTTCCTGCCTGGGACCTCTTCCTTCCTCCCTCTCCCTCCTATCTGCACAGGCCTGCTTGTAGCCCCTGGTTAGTGCTTGGTTCACTTGAGGCTGGCGTCTTGTAAGTGGCCCTCGACCTTCAGCGGAGTCCTCGTAGGACTCTACTTCATGTGTCTCTTAGCTCAGATCATGGAGTGTCTGTGCTGCAGGAGACTGCATACTGCCCTTGGCACCTTCGGACCCACTTCTGTTTGCCACATCATTTTGGGGGATGCTGTGTTCTGGATGGTGTTTTTGCCCCACCATCTGCTTGGCTCTGGGGATGCGGGGGTTGAGGGATCAGAGGGCCCCAAGCTCTAACCTGCATCTGACACTTAGAAGCTATGTGACCTTAAACAAGCTAGTTTGCTTTTCTCCAGTTTCCTTACCTAAAAGAAAGGGATGCTAATAAAACCTACCTTGTGAAGGTAACATGAGAAGGGAGGATTACGATGTATGTAAAATGCTTAGTGTACTTTGAAGCTGATAATGTTAGCTGCTGCTGTTACTGATATTGCCACCATGACTAGTGTTACCTATTGAATACTACTCAAAATATTTCAGCAGAGGAAGAGGCATGCTCAAAGTCTCTGAGATAAGAAAGAGCTAGGCATGTTGGTGGGGAAAATGTAGCCAGAGTGACTGATGTAGAGGGAGGGAGCAGGGTTGCTTCAGTGTACCACTTTGGGGGCACTGAGGTCTGGGAAGGTGGTGGACCACTGGAATTGTGCAGTGGCCCTATGAGAGGTGTTGAGTGGCACAAGATGAGATCAGAGAGGGAGGCAGGGTCCTCTCTAGCAGCCTGTGAAGGAACAAAAGCTGTAAGGAGAAGGCTGGCCTCACAGCTCATGTGCTTAAGCCATAAATGGGGCCCCAGTGGCCAGAGAGATGGGTATGTCACTGTATTTTACAACCGAGTTCTTTGAACACAGCCATAATCATAGAATAAAAGGTCAGCAGACCCTGGTTGCCCACACTTGTTTTGGCTGCTGCTTGGCTACTTGAGCCATGACTTCTTTACCCATCCCTCTTCTCTGATAAGAGTTGCTAGGGGCCACTGGTTTTATATAACATAACATAGAAGAACATACTGTGACAGAAAACAGTAGGGAAGTCCCCATTCCTTCCCTGCATCTGCCCTCACCCCTGCTGTGCTTACTCTGACTGTTCTCATTACACTGACTTCTGCTTCTTCTAGCATGCCAGGTGCATCCTTACTTTAAGGTCTGCTTACCATAGCTGTGGTAACCCGCCAGAGAAACTGCCCTAGGACTGGACATTTATTACTCTCCTATAGTCTGCGGGTGCTATGAGTTGGGTTCAGGTCTGCCATGTGTTTTCTTGAACATGCTGCAGCATGTTCTCCTTACAGTAGATTGTAAGAGCCCAAGGAGCCAAGCCAGACTGAATCGGCAAGGTTAAGGTCTCTCTGCTCATGTTGGATTGGCTCCATGCCCCTGGCCACGGCAAGTCATATGGCCAAACATGGTGTCATGGGCAGGGAAAAACAAATCTGCCCTTCCCACAGAGCCAGAGTTCAGGGTGTGGCTGCATTAAAGCAGAATGAAGTGGGATGGATACTCCTATCTGCCATGGGGGCCTTAGAAAGTACGTGCTGTCTTGCTTCTTTGTTCTGTCTTTGACTCATCCTTTAAATGTGATCTTAGGAAAGTCTGACATAAACTCTTAGTAAAAATAGTATTATCCACTCCGCTCCAACCTTCATTTCTGTCACCATGCTGTATTTCATCCATAGCACTTACTACAGTGTTATAACACCTTGTTTATATTTTATCTCCCTAACCAAAGTATGAGCTCCACGTAGACAGAAACCTTGTCTTTCTGTACCTATCCTATTGGTAGATGTAGAATGAATGAATATATGAATGAATGAATGAATGAATGAATTTCATGCCTGCAGATCAAGTGCAGAGTGGTTTGTATTTAAGGCATTCAATTTCATGTGTTTCAGCCTGTGAAGTCCATTTTGAAAATACCAGGGTACCCATTGAAAATGTTCTTGGAGAAGTTGGAGGTGGGTTTAAGGTGAGTTGCCGGCTCAGCCTTCTGTGCTTGCAAGGTGGAGAGAGGAGAAATCGGCTCCCAGAAGAGCAAGTATGTGGTTTGAACTAGGTGCCTTCATTCATCTGTGAGGCTTTGTTTGCCTAGAATAGAATGGGACAGGATTCCTCTCTCCAGTATGCATAGGAAAGCAGGCCAGCAGGCACTAAAGGAGTAAAGGTTCTCTGAACGTACAACCCTGGGTCATTAGTCTCTACCTTAAGTTTTTTTTCTTTGGTGTTAGATTTATTATGATATATTTTATTTACAGATAATTCATATAACGTATAATTCACTGTTTTCAGTTGTACACATTGGTGGTTATACAGCTATTACCATTGTCTAATTCTAGAACATTTCCATCACCCCAGAAAAAAATGCCATCCCTCCTTATTTCCTCTTCCCCCATCCCTTTGCAATCACTATTTTACTTTCCGTGTTTATGGATTGGCTTATTTTGAACATTGTATATAAGTAGAATCTATATGTGGCCTTTTGTGTTTAGCTTCTTTCACATAGCATAATGTTTTCAAGGCTTATCTAAGTTGTAGCACTTATGCCTTTTTTTGGCCGAATAATATTCCATTGTATGGATATACCACATTTTGTTTATACATTCATCAGCCAATGGACATTTGTGTTGTTTCTACTTCTTGGCCATTATCAGTGATGCTGCTATGAACACTTATGTATAAGTTTTTGTGTGAACAAATACGTTTTTAGTTCTTTTGGGTGTATATCTTGAAGTAAAATTGCTGGGTCACATGGTGACTGAATGTTTAACTTTTTGAGGAACTGCCAAGCTGTTTTCCACAGTGGCTGCACCACTTTACATTCCCATGGTCAACTTACGAGGGTTCTAATGTCTCCACATCCTCT